TAAAACTAAAATTCATGCCAATATTTTTCCATGATTTATAATAATTGGAGTAATGCAAATGCATATTTTCTAAAAAAAAGTCAGTTTTTAGTGAAATTTTGCCGGGAATGGGGCTTTAACCTCAAGAAGCCCACCTCTAAAAGAAGCCCTTCTCTTCAGTTTGCAAAATTAATCTCAAAAAGAAGCCCATGGGCTTCTAATCAAGATAATATTGGCTTCTTTCAAGACTGATGTTAACTTTGATTAACATGATAGTGTGTCAGTATCAATATTATTTTATTGTACTAGTATTTTTAAAAGTGAAAATATATTAAACAGAATTTCGAATTCCTTAGTTAAAAATTGTTGTATAGCAGTGATTCCAAATTTACAGCATTAATTTTGATAACAAGTCCCATTTTTAGTTTGCAAAAGCAACCTTGAAAAGAAGCCCATCTCGAAAAGAGGCCCATTTCGAAAAGAAACCCATCCAAGTTTCCTAAAAAGAATGCCTGAGGCTTCTGTTTAACGTTGTATGTTACAGTGCAACAAATAAATAATCATTGATATTGACTGACTTGTCCTCGTGTTACTCAAACATTTACTAGCTTACGACAATGGATCCTTAATAATTTAAGAAAATATTCCCATAATTCCCATCAACATTCAAATTCAACAGCTTCTTCCAATGGTAAATATTTACTTAATAAGTACATACTTCATTGTATTTCATTTATTTATAAACTATGTTTTCCTTGTTTATTAACAGAGACCCTGATGGGGCTGTTGAGCATGCCAAGCAGACCATCTCTGACCTCCTATGCAATCGAGTTGACATCTCGCAACTCGTAATCACTAAGGAGCTAACCAAGACAGGGGAGGAATATGCAGGGAAGCAGGCTCATGTTGAGTTAGCTGCAAGGTGTGTTGGTTTGTTCTATAATACATTACTTCATGTTATGATGGTGATATTTTTTTTTTATTTCAGCAGAGCTGATAATGTTTGGGCCCACTAAAACTATAAAAACAATGCATATAAATGTAAAAAAAAAATTTAAACAGATCAGAGGTTTAAATAATTTATAAATTTATTATTAAAAATTATAAATTAATTATATAGAAATTAAGGTTCCTGTTTGTATTGTGCTGTTATACTCCATTTTCTTATTATTTTATATGTCAAGGTCGGAGACCTAGGAGTGTGAGACAGACAATGTATGCCCTGTTGATAATCAACAGGGGTGCATTAGTCTCTATTGTATGCTATTGTATATTTATATTATTTTATGTTATTGTGTGTTTACGCTGTTTTACCACAAAATGTAAACGTAGAATAACTATAAAATGTAAACAGAGTAACCCCTCTGTTGTAGTTACTCTATGTTTACGTTGAGCCGCCACAAAAATGAAGTAATGCATGAATACATGAATCAGTGTTTAAGCTGCTATTAGCAGAATAGCCAAATCCTAATAGTAGAAGCTGAATTTTGCTAAATATTCAAGTCTTCAAGTTTGCATGAGTCTTTAAAATCAGCACGGTCTACACCTTTCCCGTACTCAAGCAGAAATCTTGCAGAAACTAATCCTGCATATTCAGAATGTTTTAACTACTGTTTTAGTAATACTCTCCCTAAAGGTCGCTAGTGAGTGGTATAACCATGTACAGCAAAACACAACATCTATAGATTTGCGATTTTCTTTTTTTAGGAAGCATTATTAGAGAGTTTATTTTTATACAAAGGTCTCAACATAATGTTACATATTGTGTATAGTAACAAGGATACAAAAAATTCTTCCTTGAACCAATTTATTTTTTGTATGGGACTAGAAATAATGGGAATAGGGCTACATAAGAATTTATTATTATTTGCAGGTGTATTTAAGATTAAGTTCAGATTTGATAAAAAACAAATACTCATTTCCTAAATTGTATCCAATGGAAATACGGCTAGATAAGGATTTATTATTTGCAGGGGATTAGAGAGTTGCATTTGATTCAACAGAGAATACATATTTCCTTTCATAATCAATGGAATAGGACTACATTGGAATTTATGTATTCACAGGGGGAATAAACCAAGATAAACCAGAAAATACCGATTTTCTTTATGCTTCAAAGGGATAGGGCTACATAGGAATTTATTGTTATTCACAGGGGATTAAGAGATTTAAAATCAATTCAACAGAGAATACCCATTTCAAATCACAACTTTGATCTAATTGTAGATAAAGAATTTTGCTTTTAACATTGTAGGGTGTGTTTGTATTATTCAAGTATGTTATTAAGTACTGGCTTGTTATCCATAACAATGTTATCTTGTTGAATTCTTCACTTATGCTTCCTCTTTTGTTACTGTGATAATTCTGATTAATTTTCTGTTTCCTGCCAATTAAATGTTCTTGAGCATTCTTGACCCGAGGGGGCTCACTCTTAAATATTTCTATACGGGGAGGTGCCGCATTTACGGGGTATATTTTCGAGGACTTGATAGCACAAGTTTGGGAAATATGGGGCGAGTTGCAGCATTTACGGGATATACTTGCGAGGACCTTGTAGCACAAGTGTGGGAAATGTTCGGGGTGAAATTTGTAGTTAAATTCCCTGGCCTATCCGTGTAAAAGTGCCACGATTTCCTGCACATTGTGAGTGGGAATTTCAAGCTAGACTGGGCCCAATTGAGCCTACCTTTGGTACAGCCACAAGATCGCGACCGGACGAACACTTTTTGCCATCTGGAACCAGTAAATATTGCGCCCTCTCTGGCACTATTCAGTGGCCTTTTTCTGTCGTCTTTTAGAGCACAGTGCAATTTTAGTAAATGGTAGTCCATAAGAATTTAAAGTAAAATAAGTAGCTCAAGTGTCTCATGTGCGACGACACCCCCCTGTTTGTTTGGTATGCAAGTGAGCTCCCTGGGGTTCTTCATTATTTTATTTCTTGGTATGTTAGTTCTCATAATAAGATCCAGTATCTGTAACAACAAATGTAAATTATAAAAATGTAGGTAAATGATACTATAGAATGGTGTTATTTGAATTCACATTCATTGCCAAAGGAAATTTGTCTAGTTTCAATTTACAGTTTATAACTTCATTGAAAATATACAAAGTAATAAGCAACTCATTTTTTTGATCATTTTTTTATAGATTTAAATTGTAGTACAGTATATATTTGATATGATGTTAACATAAATAAGCATAAATATATTATTAAAAATGATGTAATATGATCTTCAGTTTTTTTTAAACCATTAGAAATTAAGTTGTTGCCTGTTATGTTGCTATACCATGAGTAATGTTTCTTATTATTGCAAATAACGATGTTTTTTTTTTTTTTTAATTATTGTCAATAATGATTATGCTATTGTTATTTTTTTAGTAATTTTGTTTTTGTTATTTGTATTACTTTTATTGTCAGTGTTATCATCATCAATATTATTTTCTCATCCGTAGAATGCGTAAAAGAGATGCAGGTAGCGCTCCCTCTCTCGGTGATCGTGTTCCATACGTTATCATCTCGGCTTCCAAAGGTGCTGCTGCCTATGAAAAATCAGAGGTATACTTTCTTTCCACTCAAAAATATTTAAATTAAATTTATTCAACTATTTAACACCTCTCAGGTATGGACTTGATCCCTGCGATTTACACATGCACTTACAGATGTCAGTCATGCATTGCAAATGTCTGTGAATAATGGAATAGTATATTTTGTAGAAAAACATTTGCAAGTATGAGCTATTCCACAGGTGGTCTACATGCAGACCGCGGGCTGCGTGCGGTCAGCAGCAATTTTGTTGCGGCCCATGACAAACCTGTGTGCAGTCTGCCTAGCATAGTTGGCTAGAAAACCCCTTGTTCTTACAGCCCAACTCCGAACATTTGTAAAAGTAATATTAATACTGAGCATAAATCGGCGTAATTGCTGCAGTGGATAAAGGTTTTTCTGAAAATGTCAAAAGTTCTGGTCTGGCCTTCAGTGTTTCATCAAAATTTCACTTTGGCTCTCTGACCACTTTTTATGTCCACCCCTGTGCTATTCTTCTAATAGGTACGTTTTTGATAAAGTTAATCTATTTTTTAAATTTTTTTTAACACCTTTGATTTTAGTAATTTGTTATGCAGTAATTAAACCCTAAGCAATTAAAACAAGAGTGGGCTACTGCATCATTGATACTCTCGTTTTATTTGTGCTATCAGAATATATTAACAACTTATGGTGGTGTATTTTAACATTTTTATATACTTTTTTTTCTCTTTGGTAGGATCCTATATATGTTCTTGAGAATAATATCCCAATTGACACAAAGTATTACCTCGACAATCAACTGAAAGGGCCTTTGTTACGAATATTTGAACCGGTTCTTGGTGAGGCAAAAGCTCTCTCGGTCCTCTTCAGTAAGTTATTTATATTTTTGTGAAAAAGAAATATATATCTGTCTGTCTTTCTATTTGTTTTGTGTACATTTACACTATGCTTGTAAGGAGCATGTGTCAATCTCCCTTTAACACTCTGCTCGCCAAACACAGTGATCCCCGTCTTTGGTAATGCAACGCTTGACTGCCAAACACGGAGATCTCTGTGTTTCAGTTTTTTTTACGGAATCCGATAGATGGGGTAGTTACCGACATGTACTAACAATTTGAACACTATATTCAGTCTCGACTGTAAGTATTTCACTATTTGTTGGTTTACATTAGCGTAGAGCGGTAGTGATTTACCTTCACGAAATCGCGATTATCTCAGCTTCGTTGTGCGAAATTGCGTAAATCTCAAATATTGAGTCATTTTCATTTTACTGTTACGGGTCACAGATTGTAATTAGAATAAAGTGTTCGGTATCATTGTAAAGCTAAAATGTTTGTAGTTTTCGTAGTATTTACTACATGTCAATCTGATCACATACGCACTCTCAACGAGCTTCGGAAAAGTGTTAAAATTTGCTAAAAAGTCTGGTGGTCGCTGATACTGTATTTTCAAACCCCTGGCGGTCAGTATAAGAATAAGCTTTACATAGATCATTCTTGCGACTTTTTATTATGCAGGGACTTAAACCGGGCACTCGTTGCAGCTGACGGATGTTGCCAATGCGATACTATGTAAAACGCAATGGCACAATGCGTCTGCAACGGATCATGTTTTTATGACGATCTGTTCTGACTGCCAACGACAATCAGACGGCGTCGCATTGCCTAGTGCTCACAGGGAGCAAAGTTGGATTCGGCGACGTCATACGATGAAGCGAGTGCCCAAGTTAAATGAGTATAAACGGTTCAAAAAGATAGACGCTACACTCACCAAGCTTTATAAAAAAACACTAGTTATGTTGCATCAAGGGTTCTAACTGATAAGCTCTCTATCGCCCAGCAAGCTAGCCTCATAATGGGTATCAAGGGTCAGGATTTTACAGCCATAATAACCCACAGTTAATGCTGCGTGGCGTAGATGTAAGGCTTGGGCTTTTCAACTGAGTAATTGCATGAGTTCCAGGCCAATGCTTTTACTTATGTTATGCCTTTCTTGTTTTAAAATGATGGGTCATTTACTGCAATCGACTTACTGTTGCAAAAGTTATGAATAAAAGTATTACTGCTTCTCTGTACTAAAGTATACAATACTGGCACATTCTTATGCCAACTCAGTTTAACAATTAGCAACAGTACACCTCATATTTGCACAATATAAACCATATATAAGTAGAAAAGGAATGATTGTTTAAATTGATTCCAACATTCTGCGTTCTTGGCTAACATTCAATTATCCTTCTATTTTGTAAAAACCTTCCCATACCTCATTTTGAATTTGACACAAGCAGCAAAGCTCAGACGGTTAAACTTGTGGTAGCCACTGTGGATGTCAGAGACTGAAAATACTCGAGGATAATCTAGAAAAATAACTTTACATTTTGATCGTACTTGTAACAGTTACATTGCATGAATTTGAAAGCAATAAAAAAAAAAACTAATGGAGGGAAAAAATCCCTTATTGAATATTTCATGACATATCAATTTTAATGTCTTTTTGTAGATGTGTCTAGATAGTTCTCTAAATTTGATGGAACATATTAACGCATCTCAGGTGCCATGCTTGGCTGTGTAGTATATTTTAGTACAGATACCGCTTCTTTTCAGAGGGCGACCACACAAGGACAAAGACACAGATAACGTCCAAGGTCGGTGGTCTGGCTGCATTCACTAAGAAACGTAGTACCTGCATAGGATGCAGGACGCCGTTGGATCGGGACAATATAGCTGTCTGTAAATATTGCAAAGAGAAAGAGTCAGAGTTGTTCCAAAAAGAGGTAAAAAAATATGTATAATATGTCAATTGTTCATGTTGTTATTGTTGTAATGTTAAGTATAATACAGAGAACTTATTTGGCTCCGAAAATATTGGTTTATTTTTAACTACTGATTTGGTATAGTCATGGTGACCCAACTTTTGCATAATTAGGTTGAATTGATTGCTTGCCAAATTACCATTGTCATATCGTTATCATTGTCATCACAAACATCATCATCATCTGTATTTGCCTGATCTTGATCATCATGTCTATTATTATCATCATCGTCATCTTTATTATTGTCGTTATCTTTATTTTTGTCATTGTCATCATCTTTATGATTGTTATTGCCATTCTTGCCATCTTCAATATCATTTCAATATAGTTGTCATCTTTATCATCAGCGTAATCTTCATCTTTTTTATTGTCATAGCCATTCTTGCCATCCTCAATATCTTTTTAATATGCTTGTCATTATCTTTATCATCATCTTAATTATTTTCATTCTTATCATCAATAGACAAAAATAATTGCATCCAATTGTCAAAGCCCAACTAACTCAGTTATTTTGGTTTCACTTCTTTGACAGTTTTATCATCCATGTCATTTTTATTTTGAGATTTGTAAAGTGCCATTAAAAGGCCCGGAGTCATGTATGAGTAGCTCTGTATTCTAAAGGACAATGGAGTTTTCAGGTTGTTTCATTTCATTTATAATCATTAAAAAAATAAACTGTCTGTGGAGAATTGGGAAATCCCCTAAAAATTCAATTGCATAATAGAATTATTGATGTAAAAATATCAAATAAATGATCAAATGTCAACAAGAGACATCAAACAATGCAGATTTAGTACAGAGACCTTTGAGATTGATTACCGGCCAGTTTCAGCGCTTATGCAACAGTGGCGTATCAAGGAGGCGTAACAACTGTTATGCAAAAATGTAGTATCTGTTATTTTTATTTGCATCCTAGTAATTTGAGAGAAAAATGTTTTCTTGTAAATTAAGAGCTAGTAACTTAAATATATATATAAATATATATATAAATATATATATATATATATATATATATAAATGTTTAATTTTGTTTTTTAGGTTTCACAACTGAACAGAAAACCTTATACATGAACAGGTTCAGCTTGTAATTATCTGCCTCAAACTTTAGACCTGTATTCAGACTGTAGGTTGCAACGCAGTTCATAAAATAATTTGTCAGCAATAGCAAGATAAATAATTTCTTTATTACTAGCTGCTTAAGATGATTGTGTATTGTCTGCACAAACATTTTATGTTTGCATAATGCCTATAATTGTTCTAATGTACAGTGGATTATATTGATTTACCTATTCTTAGTCAACTTGATGTGTTTACTAAAAGTAGAAATCGTTTGCATGAGGGTAAGATATTCAGAAACATAATAGATGAAGTTTGGGTAACCTAAGTAGCTAAAACCGAATACGAGGACACTATATCGAAAAGCTTAACCATTTTTTCGTTTTAATTGCAAATGTCTGTCTAAGGGCAATTCACATGAACAAATCCTTTGACATATACATGTGTGCTGTTGAGACTATGAAAGTGCTGTGATATTTTCTGACAATATAAATTATGTAACTCTAGTATAGCTGTTTTCATTGTATAATCCTTTGAGTGCCACAAATTTTAATTTTTTAAATTTTAGTATGCCGCACATAACTATTGATCACAAGGGCTGATGATTATTGCGTTCAATTTAGTTGTTCTTAATTTCTATATTTGGCCTTGCTAGGCGACAAAACATCAAACACTATATATTTTGTTGGTTCCCTTTCAAGGCAGTAATCACGCTGAGAATTATGCACACATGAAGTGATGTTCTTCAGAACTAATTTGTGTTTGGTAGGATTAAATATTTTGTTCCTTTTTGTGTTTCCTTGACCTGTTTCTTGCAAATAATAAACATTTATCTTTGAGGGAGATTAGTTTTATTGTTGTAATCACCTACCTGGAGTAAGTAAATCAATATAGTATTATATTATGTGCATTCATTTATGGATTGATTAAAATTCTGTATACTGCCCTCATGAGTCCACTAGACTAATTTACATATTATATACCTTATTTTATTACTGTAATTCATTGGTATACAAGAATGAAATAAAATACAGTAAAATATACAGTACATATTTTATTTTGGGTTTACTTAATCTTATTTTATTTAATATTTGCTATTATAAGATGGTTTAGATTTAGAACCATTAAGGCTTATGATGTGGGGTACATTTAAGATGTGAGAATTAACCCATTTGTGCTATTATAGGATGCAATAACTTGGTTTAGATTTAGAACCATTAAGGCTTATGATGTGGGGTACATTTTAGATGTGAGAATTAACCCATTTGTGTGATAACCCAGATTAATGGAGTTTAGAAGCAAAGTATCTTCACATGACATCCATTCTACTAATCTGCTTCATCTTGGAATTATGTTTTGTTTATTATTCGTATGAAAAACTACAACCCATAGCTATGAATGTTAATTTTGCTGGTAGCAGGTCAAATTATTCTTGGAATCTCATTTTGACAGTACAATCTGTAATCTATTAAGGACTATGTAAGCTACAGGTATTACTGTTCAACTTTCAACAAATCCAATTAATTATTTAAGATTAGATACTCTAAATTGATTTGATTTTCAACAAATATATTAATACTAAAAAAATTTAATTCTTCATTCTACATTAAACATATGAGGAGACCGAAATCATCTATTCCTTAGCCTGGCTGTGGATGTAGCCCCTGATATATACCGTAAACCTAATTGTCTCGGCCACTCACTGACACTAAAAACAGTGTATGTGCGCGTCTGTAATTTCGAACACATGGTAATGTTAATGCAAGGTTTTTTTGAAATATTTGATTTGAAACGACAGGTCAAGTGGATAAATCGGGAAATCTAAGGTACAACAAAATCCACCACAAATAATATGATTGATTCCTTAGGTTATAGTCATCCGAAGTTCAAGGAAAATAAGGATATTTCCTTCAAAACTAAAACAACAAAATGTGTACTTCGATTTAAATTATGAAGTAGGCTAAAGCACGAGTGTTTTGTAAGAGTATATTGATTACATTAAAACATGGATTAAAGTGTAATGTGAGGTCAACAACACCTTAGGAAATCTGAACAATCCCTGCAATATCCTGAAAATGTAATTTAATACAAGGTACTATCCTTGTAAAAGATAAATTTAACTTTATATTAAAGGTATTGCTACCTAGTAATAAGGGTTTAACAGCCTGTTTGAAATCATTGTATTTAGTGGTTAAGTTGTACTTGTCCCTAATATGGTTTACTGTATAAAATGTCAACCATTATCCTTTTTAGTGCCTAGTTTATTTTATTATGTATTTTTATAACTTTTATTCCTGTTAAGTCATTACCAATATCATGTGTAAATGCTATGTGCTGTCAGCATTTTATTCACTTTTGTAATTCTGTATTTTTATAAATTTCTGTAATTTATAAATTAATCTTGAATATGTTTTAGGTTTTCCTTTTTATTGTTTCTTTTTATGATCCAACATATGATATAAATTTTCATTTTTTAGAAAAATGATGAAAATAATACATATTTACATAGCTCCAATTCATTGAATGTAATTGGTATATTTTAGTTCCGTGCATTAAGAACATGCATAGTATATGATATGATACACTGCACAATGAGTGGAAAAGGTGCACTTTATGCTGGTTTGCCATTGGTTATCCAGTGAGTAGAATAATAACATTAGCGTATTTGATCACTGATTTGGAATTGGCACAAAAGGCTATTACAGTAAAAATAAATAATTAATAATTAAACGATAGTAAATCTTATTTCAACTTCATTATACTTATATAAAATTTGTTGAACACTCAAATTTTAGTTATAATGTAAATTTTATATTAATAAAAAAAGACTGTGACCTGAGATGGCACAAAAGGACAAAATATATAATTGATAATTAAATGTTAGCAAACATTACTTCAACTTCATTATGTTTACATAAATTAAATCAGTTGATCGACCTAATTAATTATAATATAACTTTTATGTTGATAAAGAAAATTTGTTGTGACCTGAGATAGGCACAAAACAGTGGCGGATTCGAGGGGGAGGGGGCCCAGCCGACCCGGGTCTTCCCTACATTGTTCAAAGTTTTACAAATACGGAGATTATATTAAAATTTTGTACCTCCCCAGGCCCCTTCAACTTGGAATTTCTCGATCCACCACTGTAAAAGGAAAAAATAAATACCATATTGAATAATGAAATTCTGGTGAATATTATTTCAACTTTATTATAAATGTTTAAATATAAAAATCAGTTGATCAACCTATTTTTAGGAGGCCAAAAAAAAATTGTTTGCCCTCCTCCACCCAGACCCTAACTCCCTGAAAAAAAATAGGGGCAGAAAAACAAAAAAACTTTAAAAAGTGGGGGGGTTTTTTTTAGCTTTTTTCTTTACAAATAAAAAAAATGTGAGTGAATCTATCTTCATTTTTTGTCAGATGCCCTACAAATTTGTTTAAAGTTGTTGTCTGATGTAAGATATTGCCATTCTAGGCCTCTGTGGCGTATTTTTATTCTATCTGATGAGTATTTACTGATTTTACTGATTTTCATTTTTTACTGATTTTCATTTTTCCTCTTCCCTTTTTGTTGTTAGTTTTAAGGTTTTTTTTTTTTTTTTTTTTTTCGATGCTGTAGTTTTATATGTATGTACAATTTGTTTTGTCTTTTACTCATTAATTTTTTCTTAAAGTTTAATTTCTTTTTTTTACTTTTTTTCATTTTGGTTTCTCTTTTATTCGTTTTACTTGTGATCCACTTGTGATACCAGTGCTACGTCACTGAAAGTGTTATCACACAAAAGACAGAAATAAATAAATAAAAAAATAAAATATCTTAAAAAAAATTAATAAAAAAAAAAATTTTCCACCCGCCACTATTTATCATTTTTTAAAAGAAGGGCAAACAAACAGTTTATTTTTTT